TCGAGCCTTGCGCTCGCATTGTTCGCGTCGACGTGCAGCTGTGTCTCGTTGTCCAGGTGTATTTGCATGGAAGTGCATATCAAGCGAACTTTGACAGTCCTCTCGTCGGACAGCCCACCATCATGACTGTGACGCTGTCCACTGGTGGGCATGACCTGCTCAAATCAGTTCCTGTGTAGAGCAGAAGGTTCTGTTTGGCCCGACGGCTTTGGCGAGCTCTGAGCTCTGTTCAATGTGCATTGTCTGCTTGTGGCGTTTGCCAGCGTCTGCATTGATCACTGTTTGCAGTGCACTGCGCCTCTTGTGCCTTCTGCAGCTGCGCTGAGTTGGTTGCGCTGCGCCTCTTGTGCCCTGAGTTGCTTGCGCTGCGCCTCTTGTGCCTTCTGAAGCTGTTTGTAATTGTTCAACAGCTCGGTATATTAGGCATAGTCGATCATAGTCTGCCAGCGCTACTCAATGATCAGTGCACATGTGCATTCCGTTTTGGTTTGTCACTGCTGTGTGTGGCTGCTGTGCAGCTGCAGGAACAATGTCAAGCTGGTCAAGAAGACGGTGGATAAGCATGGACGAACTCGTGTGGCTTCTTGGCGGGGAGGATCGAGGGCCTGGTCAGTTGGGTTCCTGGTCAGAGTCATTACTATTGGCCTGCCACGGCTCAGGCTGGAAACAAACGATGTCTTGCTGAGAGCGCTGCTTATCCCCGCGGCTTTGGATTGGCGCTGGCTGGTCTCGTTGGAGAGCGGGGTGTCGTGCCAGGGGATGGGCCCATGAATATGGAGTACCCTGAAGGGCATGACCTCGATGCCTTAAAGGATTTGTTTTGTGGTGGGGGATCGACTTGGTGGAGAAAGCTGTAGGAAACCCACCCAGTGCACTTAATTGGAATGGGGAAGGTATATGAAGGTATGGGAAGGTGTACACACAAGCGCTGGCGTTAGAATTCTTCATATGTTAATCGAGCAACTGTTCGAATTGTTCCAGATCCTTTTTACCTTCCCCGACCAGTGTTTGCAGCAGTGTTTACAAACACTACTGGCGGGAGCTCTGTTGCAAAAGGCTCTTGCTGATGGAACGCTGGAATGAACGGTGCATTGTTGCATAATAGTGGCCACCTTGATGGGCACAGCAGCTTTTCACACTTCAAGTTCCATAGCCGTTGCCTATACACGGACATGTCGCATACGACCGTTACGCCAGACTTGTTTGATGTTCTCGTGTGCGAGAAGATTTGCCTCAGCTGTTGGGCTATGGTTCTTGAACCATATTTGGAACCGATCCTAGGTTCCAATCGATTGCAATATTTGGTCAGTTTGTGGCCTGCATGTTTTCTTTGTGTTGTTTGACATCAAGCACAACCTGTTCAAGGGGTACACACACGTTACACTACACGTTATAACTGTTCCAAGGGAAGACTATCGCAACCTGCTGAACATCTCTCGAGATTGTGATTGCGATCGGAAATCCATCGAGGAGTACGAGATGATCGTACGTGCCAAGTACGAGAAAACGGCCTGCACATAGTGCAGTGGGCCAGTGTTTTCATCTAGCGAGTCTCATTTTCCAGAATACTAGTTTCATCCCACGTCGGCCACACTTACAGAACCTCGACCACAAGAGTCTGATTCACTCCGGCTGTTTTTCGAGTACGAAAAACGTTCCTTGGTGCATGTCAATGCGTGTCAATGGCGTGTCATTGGGGTTCAGGTAGGGGTCTCCAAAAAGCGCTCCTTGTTTAAAAGGATAGTCCATAAAACACTCCTTAGAAATCGTGTCTCAAAAGGGTAGTCCAAAAAGCGCTCCTTGGAAAACGTGTCGGGTAGTCGAGAGCGTGTCATTCGCGTGTCACAGATGCTGTAAAAATCACAATTGTGCCTTTTTTTGATCTCAGTCGCAACCAAATCGATCGATCGATTTGAGGCTGAAGGGACTCGATATCGATCCACGCGCATTGATTTCTTTGCTCGAGTGATTTTGTGTTTGAACGTGGGGTCGTGCCTTCTTCGAGGCCATGGGGGACGACACAGAACAGCTGCGTGAGTCAGCTGGGAAAAGCACTTCAGGTACCAAAGAAAAGAAAGATAAGAAAGCAAAGAAGGATAAGACAAAGGACAAGCGTAGCAGAGAAGAGAAGGTACCAGAGGAGAAGACAGAGACAAACCAGAAGGTGAAGAAAGCAAAGGTCGATGAGCTAGCTGGCAATTCAGAGGAGAAAGTGAAGACGTTGAAGGGAGAACCTTCCAAGACTGAGGACGCGAGTAGAAAAAAGAAGCGCTCACAGGAAGAGACACCAAGGAGTAATGAGATTGCTGGCGAGACGCCAAAGACCCAGGTGAAGGAGAAGGATTCAAAGAAGCGGAAGGAAGACAAACAAAAGGAACCAGAGCAGAAGGCTGATAAGAAGGCTGATATAGAAGACAAAGAATCGAAGAAGCGAAAGGAAGAGAAGCCAAAGGAAAATCAGGATGAGAAGGATCCAAAGAAACAAACAATGAGTGCGGAGAAGGCCAAGGATCAGGAAGACAAGGTCAAACAGAAGACTTCACAGGATGAGAAAGACAAGGACAAGAAGGAGGAGTCGAAGAAAGAAAAAAAAACGCACAAAGAAAAGAAGAAGGAAGCAGCGAATGCAACTGAGGTGACGCCACTTCAGAAGGCAGATAGTAAAGAAAAGACTGGAGAGGAGGGCAAGGGCCACGAGGAGAAAACGAAGGAACATGATGAGAAGCCAACGATTGAGGTGCCTGGCAAAACGGTCAAGGCAAAAGGAGAGAAGTCAAAGAAGAAGGATGAACATGATGAGAAGCCAACGATTGAGGTGCCTGGCAAAACGGTCAAGGCAAAAGAAGAGAAGTCAAAGAAGAAGGAGGAACATGATGAGAAGCCAACGATTGAGGTGCCTGACAAAACGGTCAAGGCAAAAGAAGAGAAGTCAAAGAAGAAGGACGATAAGAGCAGCAAAGCTGAGAATGCAAAGAAGCAGAAACCTATGAAGGAGGATGAAAAGACTCACAACGAGGAGAAGGGTGAGACACCAAAGAGCAAAGATGATGAGAAGAACAACAATGAGGAGAAGGCCAAGGATCAAGGCAAAGGTGCAAACAAAAAGACTGAGAAGATCAAAGAGCAGACTCCAGCGGATGAAAAGGAAAAGAACAAGAAGGAGGAGGAGCCGAAGGAAAAGAAGACAGAAGAGAAAGCGTCCAAAGCAAAGAAGAAAGAAGCAGAGAAGGCAACTGAGGAGAACACATCTCAGCTGGAGATTAAAGAAAAGACCGGAGAAGATGCACTCGACTCGAGACCACACCATGAGAAGAAGAAGAAGAAGAAGCAGGAGGAGGGCAAGAGTCATGAGGAGAAGACAAAGAAACATGAGGATGAGAAGCCAAAGGTTGAGGTGCCTGGCAAAACGGTAGAGCAAGTCGCAAAGAAGGCAAAAGAAAGGAAGTCAAAGAAAACGGATGAGAAGAGCAGCAAAGCTGAGAATAAACAAAATGATAAACCCACGAAGGAAGATGAAAAGAGACACAACGAGGAGAAGACAACAGGTGAGACACCAAAGAACAAAGATGATGAGAGCAACAATGACGATAAGGCCAATGATCAGGGCAAAGATGCAAACAAAAAGACTGAAAAGGGCAAAGAGAAGGCTCCACCGAATGAGAAAGACAAAACAAAGAAGAAGGAGGAGCCAAATGAGAAGGAGACGGAAAAGAAAGCACACAAAGGAAAGAAGAAGGATGCAGAGAAGGCAACTGAGAAGGAAGCAAAGCAAAAGGCAAAGGCTGCTGGCAATGCGGCAGAGATGAGTGGCAAGGAAGATGTTGAAGCGCTAAATGAGGCCTGGCGTGAGAAAGCACAAGCTGGGATGCCTTCATCTGCAAGGGGTCCGGCACACAAAAGGAAACAACAGCAGGATGACTTGCAAGCTGTTCTCGTACAGGCAGCGCCCTTGCGCAAGACGAGCATGGAGAACGCAACACCAAAGGAAGAAGAGCCAAAGAAAACAAGCAAGCAAACGTTTAGACAGGAGGAGGAAGCACCACCAGCAAAGCGGGCCAACAGCAAGGACTGATTTGGGGGGGTGTTGTGTGAGTGCAGGTGTGGACATGTGTGCATATATGGCTCGGTCACTTGTTGAACCAGTCAATGTGGCCTCTTCCAAGAACCCATGGCTCTATCAGGTCAAGGGTAAACACTCAAGATATGTTGTTAGTGCATCCGGAAATCAAGCATCAAGAAAACTTTCTTTGTGGAATCAGTCGATGGGTCTCTGCCAACAACCCGTGGCTCTATCTGTCCTGCCCCCATAAACCCATAATAGATCGTAGCTAACTGAATGAATTCAAAATCATGTGACATGTTGTCCCAGGACCTGCTGGTAGAAAGGCAGTCCACAATTGACTCCATGATTCTTCCAGAATCTCCGGCTACTGCACGGAAGTTGAGCTTTGGTTCGGTGCCTTGGATATAATACTGACGGGCTGATTTTCCAGTCTTACTACATAGCCCTTGCTAGATTGTGAAGGCCTGGTATAAATATTTTTGTGGGAAGTAGGTTTTTGACATGGAGTCATACCCCAATTGGCATTGCTACATTCCCTTGCCACTGCCAAGGACCATGACACACCTCCCTCCACCACTGGTGGATCCGAGCGGCAGTCTCGGAAGAGGGAGTGGACCTCGGAGGAGCTCGAGAAGATTTCAAAAATGAGCAAGCCTTCGGACATGGATTCGGACGAGTCTTGCATCAAATTATGTTGCAGGGTCACTGCTAAAAGATAAAATATATCGGCTTATGATATATAGTTCTTAATCTGAGGAGCCCAAACGACAGTACAGTGCACTACGTCGATGTATCGTGCGGGATGCATCACCGCAGCTTGTTGCCAAGTTCAACCTGTGCAGTGACCCCGAGCGGCTACTTTGCTAACACATGAGGACACTCAGTCCAAACTGTGCATTGCTAAACCGGTGTCATATTGTGGAAACCTAGGTTCGCCATGCTCAAAGAATGGATTCGAAACCCCAACCTCGCGGATATGGTTGTAGAGGAACGGTACACGTCCTGGGTTGAGTCCCTGCGGACTGACCGATATGTGACAGTGGCTTAGCGTATTATAGCACATTGTATACTCAAGATCTTTGCCTCAGCGCATGAAAAAAGGCATAAGTACACACTAGCCCACAAGGTATCGGAACTCCAACTTGAGAAGATCTATGGAACGAGCAAAGAAGCTCTCGCCTTTATTGCTGAAGTGTTGCGTGGTGCCTTGGACAAACACACTTCGTCCAATGTGTTCACCGTCGATGTTGGTGCCCAGACCATAAGTTATATTTAACCCTGAGGCCAGACAGGTGTGCCGCACCCGCAGGTTCCACTGGCCTGTCTTGGCTTAGCGGTTGTCTTGCAAGGACTGTAGTGAACACCTTGGTGCATGTTGCAGGCACCATCGATCAAGAAAGCCCGTCTTTACAAGGTGCTCAAGGAGATTATTGAAGACACCAGCAAAGGTCAGCGTGGTGCATCAGAGGTATTCTGACTGCTGATATTTGACTATTCTCAACACCATTATTTTTGTTTTAAAGGTCTCGTGGTTGCGATTGGACGCATTAAGATGCTCGAATAGCTCAGGTGTCTCTCAGTGGCCGAGTAAAGGATGGTGCAGCTAAAGCATTGCTGCAGAAACAACTCGGGGGTCTTGGAGCAAACATCGGTGAGTTTATGGACTTGAAGACGGGGGCCATCAAAGCAAAAAAACCGAAGAAGGAGAAACCACCTGAACAGGAAGCCATTGCTGAACTCAAGAAGGTGGAAAAAAAAGCGACTGGGTTCAATTTCTGTTTACCAAAAAAACTTAGGCCAATGTCGGGGGAGAAAACACACATTGCGGGTACCCAAAACCACTGGACCAACACACTAAGGTGGAAGGATTTGTTGAATGGCCTCGAGAAGGTCATTTCTGAATTGGCCGAGTACAAAGTACGGAATGCCAGTGAGCTTGTGGCCCACTTGCATCAAACATTGTTGCATCAGTGAAACATGTTCAAGCTGCTCGTGGATTTGCGTACATGAACAGTCCTTTAGGTCAGATGCCTGGAATCCCATGTGCCTAAAGCTCGTGATGGCTCTCAGCGTGTGAGTGAGAAGGTGAAGACCCCTTTGAGTCAGGTGGATCCGGCTGCGATTCTTCTTCTCATCGAAGCGGAGAAGGAACTTATCCAGCCGATCGATACCGATGTAAAAGATGGCAAACGCCGTGTTTCTGCTGTTAAGGGGCCCAAGAAAAAAACTGCCAATCAGGAAGCTGGTGAAAGCGAATCGGATTGATTATGTTGATGGTTCCCCTGAACATGTTGAATTGTCTTTTTGCTACAGACCAATTTCATTGTAGAGCAAATCCAGCTGGTTGGCTGTATATATCCCCTAGACCTGAGCCACAGTTGTTTTGAAGTACCCATGGAGATCCACCACTGGATCGACCATGCAATTGTGTTAAACTTGAAATGGTAAATGACTTTCACGACCAGTGGTTCAGAAAGGGATTCAATCGTTGCTTCTTGGGTGTCCTTTCTTACACACTGGCCATATGATAGTGTTCGTGTTACATAGTGTTCATGTCAACATCTTTCAACACTATCAAATAAAAATAATTGTTCAAACATATCCATCATTGTTTCCACTCTTGCAGGCCGTGTGACTAATTAGTCTTGTAAGCTCGATGATGCGCGGGCGAACCTGGGCATCCACGCTTCGAAGTTGTCTTGCCACCACTGGCCCACACTGGCCTGACATCGTGAGTGTGCTGGCAAGTGACCATGATCGAAGTACTTGGGGTACACAGCTGATATCGAAAGATATGGCCAAAAGGTGTGCGCACCTTACATTGTTGTGTGTGCAGGTGCGCATCAATGAATAGTCATACGGCTATACACATCAATGATCGATGGCCCCCAACGATTGCCCTATCGATCTTTGTCACATTTAATCTATGTTTTCTGGCCTCTTCATGTTGCAGCATGTGTAACGGACAGCCGATATGAGTCTTTCATTCTTGCAGCTCTTTGGGAAGGGCTTGATGGGGATGGTATTTTCAACCAGTGGCCACATATCTGATGCCCCAAGTGTCATCTATTGTACCAACTTTGGTGGCACTAAACCAATTCACATATGGCACACATCGGTTCCCTGGCCATGGATTTTTTATATGTAACATCTGCAGCAGGCATGCATGATAGCTTTTTAGTTTGAGTCGGGACAATGGACATTGTGGAAGAGTTCTTGGAGCTCGGACGCAATGTGACTTGTAGTGCACTAGTTTTCGATCCGGCCCTTGGTTGTTTACGATTACAATATTGCAATCTCACCATGGTCCACCGGGCCCAGGTGAGTGTTACAACTCTCGTTGCAATGCTGGGAGTTTTACGAAAAAGGGTACCTGGACGCTTCTTACCGAGTCTTGGACTATATGGGTTGTTACAGGGGATTTATGGTTGCTGGGGATCGCTGTACCAGTTCCAACATGAGCCAACAGACCCCAAAAGGCAATTTTTGGACGCGACCTTTCTTATGTCTAAAAAGCTTCTAAATTAAGTTAAAAAGGTCGCGTCCAAAAATTGCCTCTTAGGGTCTGTTGGCCTTTCTTGGTTGTGCTTTGTTTATGGATGCATCTGTCGTGCAATCAGGAGGAATCTGCGGGATCTAGCTTCGATTGATGATGTTGACACCAAACATTGTGGTGAACGCTTCTGGGCGTGGCTAAACAGGCAACCCTGGCGCAGAATGCTGCCATTTCCAAAAGAGACCCTTGCATAGTTCAGCTACTTTGTACCATTTGAACAATCACGTTCTACTTGTTTAAAGGGAAGTAAGTGTCCAAACCCTATTCCAAGAGCTTAGGGTGGAGTTGATCTTGGTAGATCGCAGCAGAATTGAGCCATTATACCTGGGAATCTGGCATGTATTTCTTCCTGCAGATGTGCAACTTGCCCTTTCGATGGGTTGATGAATGTGGGCATCCCCCCTTTCGGACCAATTGCAGCTTGACTGAAGCTGAGGTTTGCAGCGATGTATGCATATGATTTTGAGCTTTTCCGTGCACGCTTTCTTGGGGAGCCTGGGGATGCTGAGTCGCATACATTGGGTTCAATGGTGTGTCATGTGGAATGTCGAATGCTGTGACAGTTTTTTCAGCCAATTAAATTGAACGCAGCGAGGATTTGGCAATGTTCTGGAAAGCTCAAATGCAAACATCGTGGTTCAAAGAGCATCCTTTGCTCAGCCAAGACACTAGCATGCACATAGTGTGAATTGTGCAAGCTTGGTGGTTTATGATGTTTTATGTGCTAGTGCTTGTGCACCCGCCCGTTTGTTCTGCATGTGACAGCTTGGAAAAGGTTTCGCTAGAGGACTTGCAGTACTGGGTGCCACTAGTGGTTCATGGGGACGATGCTGAAGCACATCGACGGAGATCCTTTTGTGTTGTGACACTGGCGTCTGCTGTGTGCTATGGGAGCCAGTTTAACACACGGTACTTGCTGTATGCGATCGATAATGCGCAGGCTTGCCAAGAAAGCTACATGACTCTAGACATGTGGCTGATGTGGTCCTTGATCGAACTCCAGGAAGGCCGCTACATGTCAGTTGACCCCTGGCAGAACCCAATCACGCGACCTCAGGGTCCAGTGGCTGGTCCATACAAAGGAGTGCTTGTCAATCTGAAAGGTGACGAGAAATTCTTGCAGCGCACCCTTCGCTTGCAGACCAGTTGGGTCTCGGAGAATGTATGTGCCTTGTGTAGGGCAAGCAAATCAGGTCCGATGGTGTATACCACCTTTGGTGTCAATGCCCCGCACAGAACTACAAAGCTGGACACGTCTGAGTTCATCATGGAGGCAGTGAAGCCAAACCCATGGGTGATGCTGCCCGGGTTTCACATCGACCTGATAAACTTTGATTGGCTGCATGTGGTGGACCTTACGTTAGCTCCAGAATGTGCCGCAAGTGCATTGGAGTTAACACAAACGGATGAGATCTGGCCTGGAGACACGCCAGATGAACGACTGCGTTTGGCGTATGTGGACTTTGTGCGCGAGTGCAAGATTCACGGTGTGCGTTTCTAGCTTGCATTGTTAGTCTAGCTTGCATGGTTAGTAGATCGCCTGTATGTATAGTGCTTCAGCTGCTTTCTTAGTCTGTGATGCTTTAAACAGCAAGTGCCTTCAGGTAACAGAGGTGAAATCTTTAGCTTGCTGCTTTGATGCATCAGTTTGATTGCAGTGGATGCTGACTTGGAGGTTAGAACTCTTAAGTTTCTTAGAGAAATCACCTGTGCTAGGAAAGCTTTGTATCCTCTTGGCCGGCACCAGTTTCCAACCCTTGTCCAGCGTCACTTCAACGGCAGTGATTCGTGCATGCATTAAAGTGGCTGATCACGCTGTGATTTGCGTGTGCGTGGTGGTAGCAGTGATGGTGTTTTCGCTTTTGAGGAAAGCGTGATCCTCTGTCGATTTCTTAAAGGCATTTGTCTTGCTGTTGCGGCCTCTCGACCAAATGATGAGCATGCTGCGTGCCCTGGTAGCCCTTGGTGTTGTGCTTAAACACTTTGCGTACGCATGTGTCCGCTTGAGTTTGCTTAGCGGAGGTTGAGGGCTGCACTATTCATCAACTTAGTCGGCATGAGACAGGCGATATCACTGCAGCAATCTCGAATAGTCCTTCCTGCGCAGAACTTGCAAGCGTTGCAATCGTATGCGTTTCTATTTTCAAGTGCGCTGAACAGTACCGTGGCTCAACTACTCATGCAGGGTTCTTTGCGCACATGTACTGGTGCGGTGCTGTTCATACCCCACACGGGCGCCGCCCAGGTTTGGCAAGTGAATCGATAGCTTCTGGCATTCTCTTATGGAAAATCAGACCTAAATTCCACAAGTTCCTCGTCATGTCTGGCAAATGGTTTCTTCGGAATGTACATTTGAGAATTGATAACTGTTATACGAATGCTGTGTGTCTGTGTGAATGTCATTGCACTCAGGCTGCAACACATCGTTCTCGACAGCGCGCCACATATGCAAGTGCTGCAGTGCTCCACCTATTTAGACGAAGATATGGTGGGGCGAGTGAAGCAGTTTGCTTTACGCAGCCACCCAAAGGGAATGGGCAGGCAAATCTTGCTTCGCTATGCTGCGTACGTTTGCTGTTCTTGGCTGAGATCATTAGGAGGCTGATTCTTTAAAGCATCGACCCTCGCTGAAGCCCCAAAACTAGTCATTAACAAGGCCCTGTGATCTCAGCACGGTCCCAGAACCGAGCCTGCAGAGTGTCCGCCACGTGGAAGCCCAAAGCCGCCGCAGCCAGAGAGGGTGGGTAGAGTGGGTGGAGAAGTGGAAAAGGGAACCTTTACACCCAATGAGACCAAGATCCCCTCACTCACCCTTAAAGCACTGTTCATGCATGTGAAGGTGACCATGGGAGTTGGACCGGTTGGCTGGTGTCTAAGGAGTGTCCATAAAGCGCTCCTTGTAACATACTAAAGCTGAAACTAATTGAGCGCCCCTTTGGGGGTGCTGGCATATATAACATTATGTTAATTAGCATACATATATATATATACACGGACGTACGTACGCACGGCACCCACGGACGCAGGGACGGACGGACACATCGGATCTTGTTGAGTGGCGCGGCTCGTGGCGTCCGTGCCTCGCCCACCGCCGCAGCCGCTGAGCCTCGCCCCGCCCGACCATCGACCTTCACCGACTCTTCACCGATGTCCAGCGACTCGCAGCCGTGGCGGGCATGCAGCGCTTCGATGGGGCAGCTTGGAGACGAAGCATCGCCCGGTCCGGCCGTGCTTGGGCCCCGGTCCCTGCGCGGCTGGGCCGAAGCACAATGGTTGGTGGTCTTCGAAACGGCCCTCCGATCATTGAACAACTTCGCGGAGGCAAGGTAATGTAGACTCTTGATTAATAACCCCCCCCTTGGAAGAGGATGTTCAATTCAAATGGGGGGGTGTATGAATCAAGAGTCTACATTACCTCAGCTTGGGATTTGGTCCTACCCAGGAAACGTTGTGGATCACCTGCCAGCATTTGCCAGCACCCTCCAACAGGTCTGTTCTGGTAGCTTTTGGAGGCTTAAGAGTGGCGGGTAGAGACCTGTTGGAGCATGTTAGTGCAGGTTAGTTGTTTGGGGGATGTGGTTTGGAGCCCCAAACAGCGGCGAACAGGTGGGAAGTGCGGGGAACCTTTTTTTTCCTGAGACTTCCGGAGTCGGTGGATGTCACCTAGGTGGGTTTCCGAAGACATGCCATTGGCCCACCGCCCTAGAAGTCCGGAATCGTCTTTGTACCCTTAGAAGTGGTGGATCATAGGTCACTAGGTGACCGCGAGTCGTTCCGGGATGGTGATTGGACCGCCGCGCGCCACCAAAAGACCACCGGCGCACACCGCACACCGGACGAAAGCTGCCCTCCTGGGCGGGTCACACGGGTGAAACCCCGCCGGGGTCGCCACTCCAGGTATGGACCTTCGCCCGAGGGCAAGGCCTTCGCACGGGACTTCCACGATTTCTTGCTCACGGTGGAAGAGCGTCCTGATGCTCGGTGCAGTGATCGGCAAGTCGGCAGACGAAGGTGGACATGACACGTTCGTCCGGTGGTTCTCGGACACCCCGAATCAGCTCTAAGAAACTATTCATAGACACCTCTTGGAAGGTCCTGGTATTTGATCTTTTTGGGGGGTGTGGTGCCGGGCGTCCGTGTTGTTGGTTTTCGGCGTGCTGGTGGGCCAATCCAGGCGCGAGGCCACCGTGTTGAACGAAGTTTTGGCACTCTTTTTGGAGTGGGACGCCCGGGGCCCCACCTTCGGTTTCGGGAGAACTTTCTCCTAAAATCTCCTGGCCTTTTCAAGCTCAGCCTTCGTGCCGTGCCTGAAATTGCGCCTGAATTCTTCAGGACAAGCTGGAAAAAGTGGTGGAGCGACGTCGCAGGCACTTTGAGAAGTTCCCTGGACGCGTCGGTCGCGTTCCACGTCGGGCGCCGCGTTCGGCGCTGCGGTCGTTCGACGCGTTCTGCAGACCGGTCAATTGATCAGACACACAGAGCCGTCCTGTCCTGTGGAGGTTTAGGATTTAAGATCTATACCTGGAAATCCCGTCCGAAGCAGAAAAACCAGTCTGGATGAAACTCCGCAGTCCCAGCCACTGTCCATGTTTTCAGGAGCCATATTGGGTTCCAACCAGAACTGTTTCTGGTTGGGACTGGGTCTCCAAGATTTAGGGTGATGCGTCATTCTCGGTGTGACTGATGTGGGAAGCGACTACAGGTCAAGGCCCAGTTTGTGAAGATTGAAGCCGAAAGAAACCCACTCCCAAAAAAAGGGACGGGTGCAAGCATTTTAGTTTTAAGACTTGGGACTAGCTGATGGATTTAAAAAACATAGACCTTGCACCCCCCGAGGCTGATGGGTATATCACAATGGTACAGTAGCGGGTTTGAGTCGCATCGATGCTTCTTGTTTAACTTCATCCTGAAAGAAACCCTTTTCCACAAGCTAAATGTAGAGTTGATGTGACCATGATGTGAGGGGGTCGCATCGATTGAATCGCAAAGGAAATAGAGTTCCCAGCCAAAAGTTGATGTGACATAGGGCCTTCACTGTATATACCCTAGGGCTCCAACCACCTCCTGAGACTATGGTTGGGGTGGATTTGGCTTCTGCATGAGGATGTGGTTGGAGCCCTAGGGATAGTATCTCTCAGTGGATGCAGGCAAACCGCCAGCAACCAGCTGGTTCCAAAGACCACCGTGGACCGAACCTTTGGTTCCTTGCTACTTGTGGAATAACACCTTTGATCGTGGAATAACCCGATAGAGGTCGATCCACCCTTTTTCCAACAGCATTTAACAAACAAGCAATATATATTATATATATATAAGCTTTAATAATCTATATCATGAGTTCTGTTCACTACAAAACCCAGACACGACTAATGGGACTGCCATCTATGCCGCCCCAAACAGACCCCTCTGGCACCACCCCTGGCCGTTTCTCGGCAGTCCTGTCTGGCAGTCCTAGACTGGTCGTGTCTGGGAAACAGATCAACCATGTTTAACATGATCCAAAGGACTTTCAGGGTTCTCCGGGTCCATGTCGATCCCGTTTCGTGGTGCTCCGGGGGCTAGCCAGAGTCGGGTTAAAAAAAGCCACCGAGACCCGGTCCGCGGTCCGACTGCGAAGGTGGGGGCAATCAGGAACTTGTTCGGGCTAACCACCTTCTGGTGGAGGGTGCTGGCGACCTCGGAAAACAACCCCGGGGCCTCATCGGCGGCAGTCGGGCGGCAGTTCGACACCCAGGCAGCTCACCATCGACCTCAAAAAGCTCTTCCACGCAGAGACCGACTCCAGCACGCCCCCGCTGCAGAATTCCACCCAGCCGTGCCGCAGACCTGCAGATCTCTCCGCCGCCGTTCGTCGACCCGCTTGAAGTACGGCGGCGTCCACGTGAACGTCGCTGTCTTAGCCCAAAGACTCCTATCCCGGAGGATCCAGGGGATCACTATGAATCAACGTTCGTAGGCCGGTAGCCAGTGGTCTAAAACCGTTTTAACCGAAGGAAGAAACCCTGGTACTGGTTGCTTGATTGTGGTAACTGGGGTCCATTGGGCATGGTCTGTGGTATGGAATATTGACATACTGTATATTGGAGGTGGTTGAAAAAGTGTCGTTTCGAAGCCTTTCTGGTTGACAGCTCAGAGCTCGTTGCCAAAGTCAGTACATACCAGTTTAAAAAATTTTATGTACTGACCAAGGTTTCTAGAGAAAGGCCTTGGTGCCTTGACCCGAGCACAGTGGTCAGAGGGTTCCAGTCCTACTGTAGACCTGTCCGTTTCGTTCTCAGCCTTCCTTTGTTGGTTGAACTGTTGAGCTCCCGGTGAACCAGGCATGCCGTACAAACTATAGCTGCTCAAGCATGCTAAAGCCAAATGCTGACCAGCGGTGTGCTAGCCACTGGCAGTGCCCGGTGGTTTCATATGTAATGTGTAGTGGACAAGTTTTCGTGGAACCTATACCCCAGAGACTCTATGTATGGTATTGTGGTGGTTGCTTTCAGGGGTCCGCATCGATCCCAGTCAATCTCGTTTGGGTCGAACAACTGGGACGACTCTGCTCCACTGTCACTTTAGTCCATGGCCCTCGACCATCACTCAATGAGTTGGTTTAAGGGAAAATCTACCAAACTATGGTTTTCCAACAGAGGTAGCCAGTGACCGTAATTAGGACCCGTCACTTGCAATAACCCAACTGGGATAGTCGAACAGTCGGGTTCTTCAACCTTTGTTGTAGATTTTTCCAACCCAGACGCTCACGGACCCTCCTAAGTAGGGGTCCTGACCTCACCAATCCCGGTTTTGAGGGACATAGGGACCAGTCGAGCGTCGTTCACGGAGCGTCTGGGAAACCCATTGTTCCTGAGAACATCTCCCGTCCCACCGTCCACCTCGCTGTTTGCATGAGGCGCCTTCTGTTGACCGCTTCTTCGTGCGAGCTGCGGAAGTGCGAGCGCCACGTGGTGCAGATCTAGGAGCGCAGGCGCCACGGATTTCCCTGCGCAGTCGAACGAGGGGGTGGGGGGGAGAGAACAATCCATGGGACTGGGAATGTATGCCAATATAAGATCTATAATTGGGGAAAAAGGGGTCAACACAGGCATATATTCAGTAGATGAAGTGTTTTGGATTGCAGTGACCTTAAGAGGTTTTCACATGGTCAGATGGTAAATATTGCATACATGGATGGTCACATTGACCCCTTTGGGAAGGCTTGGGGGGCTTTGTCCACTCGCCCTACCCAGCATTGCAGTGAATTACCTGCAGGTCACCTGGGCTTGGAGAGAGGATGACCCCACTAAAAACTCAAATCCAGATGGAAAGCTCGTTTCATCCCGTTCCAGGGATCTCCGGCGATCTCCGGCAGAGTCGTCGCGGGGTACATGGCATCCATCCATGACTGCATGAGGTACAGTGGTCTCATGGCACAGATCTAGATTACAAAAATCATTATACAGTAATCCATTACATAATTATCCATAATCCATAATACGATTCAGGCTATTAGAACAATGGTGGGCCACAACTTCTATGGTATACCCCCCCGTTCGTAGAGAAAGTCGTCTTCCTTTCGGGACATCGATGGACCATGCCATCCACGTAACCATGTGATGTGTTCGTCAGAGTGTACCTACCCTAAGGATCCTTGGACCCTCCTTAGAAGGGGTCGAACCCTCTATAATAAGATGAACAAGGGTTTGTACCCTCAAAACCCTTGTTTTTGAGGGTGCGGATCCTTAGGGTACGAACAATCCCAGGTGATCCCCTGGATCCCCTAAAATTGGTCACGTCATGACACACTGAACCTCCATGACTCTCAGCTCGTGCCCGTGGGACGACTGCCGACCATTTGTTCGAGGTCACGGTCACTGAAGGTCCTGAAATGTTGGAAAACATGCCGGAGATATCCATAACAGATTGAGCGCTGAAAGCGTGGGTCTACTCATGAAGCATCATCCCTGCCCTAGCATGCCCTAGCCACATTGACCGTATTGCATCATCATGTTCAGTTTGTACCATTCAATTAACAAACTGTGTGCACTCGTTTTAAACAAATACCGTCCCTACGACCCAGGCCAATCAATTACCATCCCTACAAGTCCAAAGACCCAGTAAAATTTGTTCCTTTACCTCCTTAAGGAGTGTTTTTGTATGACCAAGTCCAGTAAAATGAGGTCTTTGACCTGTAGGGCATTATTTAGTATGGCCCTTTTCAAGGCTAGTGACTCATGTGACTCTTCTTGGCGCTTTTGTAGCGACGACATATGTTCTGCTGCAAGTTCAAGAGGACAAGAGGTTTTTGTTCTTTACCAATGAACCTGACGATTCTCTTTGCAAGATGCACCGAATGGCGATCCCGTTTGAAAGAGGAAGAGGAAGGGCCTGGATGACATGAGGCGGTGGATCCGTTCCAGGTCCAGTTCGGACCACCGAATGGACCGCGCACCACCGGGCACGGTTTCGGCCCGCAGATCTCGGTGGCACCGACCAAGCAGAGTCGATTGCCGATGGCCACGTGGCGCGACCGAGCGGGGCTGGGCAGGTGGGAAGGCGTGGGCTGACAGGGCGTGGCTTTCCGTTCCAAGTCCGTGACGTGGGACCCACGTGACGTCGGACCTTCATGGACCTTCATGCACCTATCACCTCCATGGACCGATCAAATCGGTGACACCTTCGTGAACTGAAGTTGGTCTGGACCTGGGGTCGTGCCAGATGGTTGGGCCCCTTCAAGGACGACCCGGCGGCTGGGCTAGGCCGCAGGACACAGACTTTGGGTTGATCCTGCCTCTTTAGAGATCGGAGGTTCTACATTCCCAAGTCGATCCCCCATCCCCTCGCTCCAGGGCTCCATGCGGCGGGACTGGCAACGGCCGTCGTCCAAACGGTGGTTGTTCGGCCAGGGGTGGTTGATTGAAAGGGGATATATAATTGTATATAATCGGATATTCCATATATACAGCGCTTAGAATAAGGTTCCTCCAAAAAGCGACCAAAAGAGGACAGCAAGACTCCCCTTGCAGAGGCCTCCCCCTTTCAGCCTTGAGAAGCCGGGCATGAAGCGAGAGTCAGACGCAACTGCCTGCATCACCTGTTTCTATACCAGAACCCCACTCTACAGGTCTCCGAAATGGTGCCCTCCGCCACCAAAGAGGAAGTCTTCCCATTCAGTCTACAGAAATCCTCACGTGCCCCTCCTGGAGAACGTGTTCGACCGGTTTGGTGTGCGAATTCTGGTGGTTTGGATCCACTGGGCCTGGTGGCCTCACAGACTTCGACCTCGAACACCTCGAACATGACTGGAACATGAACGCCTCAGGAGGAGGGGACTGTGCCGCTTGGGCTCTGACGTCCCTTACTTTCTTCGACCAACGCCGGCGGGGTTTCCGCGTGGGCAACAATGCCCACATGGGCATCAAAGAACTCCTGAGAGCCATGCCAGTTGCCCAGATATGCCATGATATGCCCAGATGTTGAGTTCTGTCTTCAGACTATCTTGGACGTTCCGTGCTACTTTGACACTGAAGACGAGGTTCCATGAACTGGGCACAAACTGGCAAGGCCATGCAGCGGCCCATTTGGGGCCACTCTTGTTTTAGTCGTTCCAGGCAACGCCTGGAACTCCCGAGCATCACAGCATCCCTGGCGCGGTGAAGAACCCTGAGGGGCGAAAAGAACAAAATCGATATTGGACGAATTGGAGGGTGAAGAGCTGTGAAGGGGATGAGTGATGTCAAGGGAATGTGTTTAAAGCTCGATGTTGGGTCCTGTTTGTGGGCCAACTCGGTTTCAATTTCAATACCTAATTCGTTTGGGCTGATGGGTTGAGTGAAGACTCAATCTGCCGGATACGGTCAGTAGACCTGCTGAAGCGCGGTGCTTCCTTGATAGCCTGAACCACTATAGCTAGCAATCAGCAGTTCCAAAGACTAAAGCCATACAGTGGCAACTGGTATCCACTGCATGGTTACTGACTACAAGTATCTTGGGAGAACCATGGGGGTTGAGTGGTGATGGCCGCTCAAGCTCTTAGCATTTTTGAGCAAACTCATGGCGCCATTGGCACCTAAGACGGCCGCCATTGGCACCGCCGAGGAGGTTTTTTCAAAGCTCCACGCCTTCGTGGCGTTAGTGCTACTTGATCCCGGAGCTTTGGGCTCCCGGATCCCGATTTTGTGGACCCTTCGGTGTGCGACTTGATCCCGATCCCGGAGCGTTGGGCTCCTAGAGCGGTCTCGATCTCCACCGAATCTCGGCCCACCGAGTGAAGGCGCGCGGCACAGAGTGAAGGCTCGAGAAACCGTGGGCCGGTGGGCAGTGGTTCGCGTCAAAGAGGTGCGGAAAAGGCGCCAGCGCCGCGCGCCACGTGCGGCATGGCGCTGGGTCACGAGTTCCGTGACGTGCAGCTCTGAGTTCCGGGTGTCTCGGGGTCTCTCAATTGAAGGTGCGATGCTGGAAACATATTGAACACGTGTCGTAAGCTGGAGGGCATGGCATAGCGAAAGACTTGCGAAAGGAGTGCTGTCCACCCACCACCACCCCCAACTGTTGCCAGTCCTATGGCTCGAACGTTGAAAGTTTGGGGGTGGATTTGAAGGGTCTATAGCGACCTAACCTTGTCAAGATGTAGGAGCCAGTGATAGATATTCCAGCGTTCTATCCAGCTTCCCGTGCTGAATGGGAGAAGCCTGAAACATGAACCGTTTTCGCAACATGGAGGAGGGCCTTCGGTCATTCCAAAGCCAACCAATGGGGAGACTGGTTGATGTTCCTTTGAAGGGGTCGTTGCCTGAGAGCTCTCCTTATTATGTCAATATTGCCCCTATAGGGCTCCAGTCGTACCTTCTGAGGTTCGGTGGGACTGGGCTGGGTGCCAGGAGTGTCCAGTCATACCTTCTGAGGAGGTAATAGTGGAGCCCTATTTTAAGCATTGCACCTATAGACCTTCCCTCCCCGCCTCGTGACAAGGTCTTGGCCATGAGCCGCTGAAGCCTGAAGAAGAGGCCACCGTGGTCAGGGAAAAACGCCTGAAGATGGGGAACCTCCAGAAATTCGGGTGTGCCCGCAGGATCTTCAAGGTGACCAAAGCTGAGATGCCAAGATGAGGTCACTTAGGCATGAAAAGGGTCACTTAGATGCACAGCTTGGGATGAAGACCCCTATCAGGCACCGAATGCCTTCCGAGGTTCAGTGTTTATTCTTACTAACCACAGAAGGTACTTTTGAGCTCTAGGGATCTCTAGGGCATATAGGAAAAGAGAGTCAGAGCTCCTTGTTTGAGGGGCCCAGCCATTGTCGCCCGGAGGTCGGATACTAAGTGACACTTTATAATACTTTACGCAATTTGACCCAAAAGTTCTGCGGACCATCCATGTATACAGTACATTGACCCTTCAAAACCAACATCTCCCCAAAAGTAGGCACATATTTCATACTTGTACATGGATTGTTTGATATTCTTAAGCATTTGGCATAAAGACACGAGAACGACACTGACAAACCATTTGCAGGGTCCTGGATGAAACAGCGCTCTTTAGAGATGGAATGCATTGCGCCATCGTGCTTTCTCGATAAACTTTATGTTTCGGTAAGACCACCAGTGACCACCAGTCCACTGGTCACCATCAGTGAAAGGGCTTTGAAAAGGCAGGAGCATGGGCCATAAGTGGGTTCTTGCTTTGATATTTCACTGTGCATTTGACATTCCTCCCTCGTTCTTGGTCAACTGACAGGAAAATTTAGTGACATTTAGTGACAGCATTAAAATGTATCCCATATCCTGTTCTTCTACCCGAAAGGACACTTTTTATTTTCAATGTTGCCCATGAAAGCATCATGTTCCACTGACAACCCGTACTGACCCATACAAATACAATAGATGGGGAAGCAGATTTTGCCTTCCTGCCGAACTAGGTGCAGACATGTACTGACAGTTTTTACCATTTGTGGCTCACAACCGCATGTCGAAGGTCACTTTCATGCGGTTGGGCCAATGGTGTGGAGAGGAAAGGGCCGCACTCCAGAATATACTTGATACTTGTTGGACATCACATGGCGTGCTACGTTTTCTATTGTCTTCTTGTTCCCCTGGGAAGGGCCGGATGTATCTATATGGCTATTTGTTTGTAATTTGTTTGACATTGCTGAGATGATGTACAGTGGTTTCAGAGTAGATGGCACAAGAGCCCCCAAGTTGGATGGTTTATATATGGAACCCCATCTAGAGGACATTTTGGGGTGGTGCCATTTACTCTCAATCCACTAATTTTTTTAATGATTTATGAAGAAACCTGAACATATTCATAACATATCATGTTCACGTTCTACGGACTGATTTGACAACCGATTTGCTATTTCCACGCTATGTCCTATTCCCTGAAACCACCCCAGTGATGTGCCTATATTGGCTGCATGCGTTTGGGATCTATTTTAGCAAAGAGCCAAGCCACGAGCGAAGCCTCCGTGAACTCGTCCGTGAACGAGCGCAGCCAGGAGCTGTGTTGTTGGTCGAAGGTTTTTTGGAAGTGAGAAGAGACCTGTTGGAGACTAGCAGCAAGATGAGCCGTTTGTATTTGTAGCAGTCGCAGCAGTAGTAGCAGTAGTAGTAGTTGTAGTAGTAGTAGTAGTTGTTGTTGTTGTTCCTTGCAGGGTGCAAAACGATCCTGGCAACAAGACCCCAGCCGAAGTCCAAGATGTAGGACTCTAGGACCAACCGAAAACCCGAAGAGGTGGGACTGGAAGCCTTGCTGCAGGGGGGGACCTCGTGCCGCTTGACCGTCTGTTCACCCAAGCGATCGGCTAGTCTAGTCCCATGGACTGGACTAGCGCAGACGCTCCATTGATGGAATCGTTCTTAGACATTTGCCTCATTGATGACGCTTTTAATATATTTAACTCATTTAAACCAAGAGAAACTGCACTCACAGTCCCCTGTTTTGTTTAAGTTTTACTATTCCAGTCCCATGGAGTGTTTGGGTATAGGGAAAGGCTCTGACATGTTTGTCGAATGTGTTCTTTTTGCTGTGAAGGGGCACCCGCGGAATTCTGTCGACCCATTGGGCAGGCTGAAAGCACCGATGGATTGCCAGAGCAGGCGGAAGCTCCGAGCGTTTGCTTCGCCGCGGTGATGAGGGATTTCGGAGTACATTGGGCCCTTTCAGAGCTTCGAGCGCACGTCCTGGGCCCTTTCAGTTGGGTGGTTGAGATGGACCCCCATTTGTCTAAAAGATCTTCAGGTTTGTGAGGTGTTTGTGCCATCGATACTGGAGAAAAAAAAGACACGATATATAACGACGGTCTCCGACGTGGTGGGTACTTTGAGAGACGGCGACCGTTTGGGAGACGTGGCAGGTGGTGACTTGTTGGAGGGTGCTTTATATTGGGCCTGTCCTATTACCAACCATCATCCGCTGTTACTGGCAATAGGATAGACCCAAGCTATATATATATATATTTATAGTAAGGGATTTGGGGATTTCCCACTAGACAGCTCTAAGGACAGTCGTCACGTCAGCTGAAATCAGGTTGCGAAGAAAGATGGCAGGGTTGCAGACAAGATTTCTGCACATGCAAGATTGAGACGTTGAGCAAGTAGTATAGGGTCAGAACTCGGAGCTTGAGACATCTTGCATGATGTTTGTTGTTTTGAGTGTTTTTGTCCAAACGGTTGTAGCTGTTGAGCAAATCCAGGTGCAATATACCAAACTCAAAGTCTTGATCAAATCAAACACCGACCGAACAGTTTCTCAAGGCTGTCCACTCACTGATGGAAATGAACACCATATACTATGTGACTATGTGGGAAAATCAATCAGTGCCAACCGAAAGAGGTTGAGAGACATTTTTGGATTCTGTGTAGTGGTACAGTGGTACATATGGATCATATGGGATGGGCATGGATGGGCTGTAGGGCTGTTCAACCTCACCTGGTACTTCACATGCAAACATGGGACGGCGGCTCTTCTCCGTGCGAGATTCAGGAGGGTGACCTCCACTACGCCAGGGAATCCCAGAGAAACGGGAGACGACTTGGAGACGGTCAGAACGAGCCAGGTTTTCATTAGGTTTCTCCAGCCTCAACAGCAGGGTGCTTGCTATTCACCGGGCCTGGTGAAGGATTTTGGGAGACATGTTTGGGAGCGCGAAAAGATCGGAAAAGGCGGACTTACTATACACCGAGTTTCTTTAAATCAAATGATGTGCATTATTTATAGGGTGATTCTTGTATGTTTCGAAATTGGCATGGGGTGAATCATGGTGAATCGCATGTGTTCTGTTTCCTGCAGAGCAGATCCTTCACCAGTCGTGCTTAGGGTGACTCCTAGAGCGGACCGCCAGACCGGTGGAGCGGACCGCTCATATAGAGACTGGGAGCAACAAAACATGTCAAGGCGATTTGTTTAGAAGTTCAAAGAAACCTTTGACCAACTAAAGCAAGGAAAATTCCGTTTGGGAGTCATAAAGACCAGTGAC